CGAGGCGATGGCATACGCAATGCAATGAAATCGAGGCATGATGGCCGAGGAGTCGAAATGCACAACTCAATATAGGATGAATGCACATGAAACTACAGCTAAAACCTAACTCCATCATGGATAATCCGGAGTGTCGGTGACTGGGGAATTGAGACACATTCCGTCACTCGGAGTACGACATGCACCTCGTTTCCCGTGCCCGGGCTAACTCCTATTCCGGACATGACGCAAAATGCATGATATGCATGAAATGCGACTAAGATACAATCTTAACATACATAATGCCATGGAATGACATGCCTCGAAATACGTGCACACGGGCACGCAAATCGAAAAAATGACAGAATGCAATGAAAATGAGATGCCTCGAAATGCGTGCACACGGGCACGCAAACCGAGAAAATGATGGAATGTAATGAAAATGAGATGCCTCGAAATGCGTGCACACGGGCACGCAAACTGAGAAAATGATGGAATGTAATGAAAATGAGATGCCTCGAAATGCGTGCACACGGGCACGCAAATCGAGAAAATGACAGAATGCAATGAAAATGAGATGCCTCGAAATGCGTGCACACGGGCACGCAAATCGAGAAAATGATGGAATACAATGAAAATGAGATGCCTCGAAATGCGTGCACACGGGCACGCAAACAGAGAAAATGATGAAATGCAATGAAAATGAGATGCCTCGAAATGCGTGCACACGGGCACGCAAATCGAGAAAATGACAGAATGCAATGAAAATGAGATGCCTCAAAATGCGTGCACACGGGCACGCAAACCGAGAAAATGATGGAATACAATGAAAATGAGATGCCTCGAAATACGTGCACATAGGCACGCAAACCGAGGCGATGGCAAAATGCTATAAAAATGAGATGTCTCGAAGTGCGTGCACACGGGCACGCAAATCGAGGCGATGGCATACGCAATGCAATGACATGGAAACATGATATGGGCTTATACCAACATGAGTGAGCCTCAGCCACACTCACATAGGATGCCGTCGGATAAAAATGAAGTGCCTCGAAATGCGTGCACACGGGCACGCAAACCGAGGCAATGGCAAAATGTGATGCAATGACATGAAAATGGCATGCAATCATTCTAATGGAATTTCAGCACTAAAATATGGGGGAAAACAGTCCCGAAATGAGGCGAAATGATACCAAGTGCATGGAATTGTCCCGAAATGCGAATTTAGGCACCCGAAATGGCCTATAGCTATGCCAAACATGCACAATATGGACATGCAATGCAAAGACAGAAGCTAGAAAGTCCCAAAAAAGGCATTTTCACAGTTATAAACAAGGCCAAACAGCAAGCATAGGTATGGAAAAAATGGCATGCAAGAATAGGGGCCAAAAGAGGGGTAATGAAGCAAGTGATATAAAATCCAAACTGAAAAATTTCCTTCTACAACATTGAAGAGGGACCAAAAATATGAATATTTACAGTATATGGAAGGCTTCGAATCAATATACAAACATGCTAAAAAATGAGCACAAGATTGAGGCTCAAAAGGTGCTATAACATGAAGTATACAAAATAATCACCAAACAGAAAAGAAATGTTGATGAAACATGAAGTATAGGCCAAAATAAGGCCACTTTCAGTTTGGACCAAGGTCCAAAAATAGAAGCAAAGGGGGCTGCCAATTTATGCAAAAATGGGGCCAAATAAGGGATATAACTACAAGTGACACATGGTCCAACAGTCAGGAATTTCTCCTGATAAAAAATTTCCACCAAGATGAAGGATATTTAGTTTATTTGGTTCGTCTTTCCTATCACACAAGAAATGGAAAATATTTCCAAAAAATGAATTGTTGGAAAGGTCTAGCTCAGTTACCATTGAGGAGACACGAGGTAATGGACCACTGAAGCGGTTGGAACTTAAGTAAATCATTGAAAACTCACTACTAACTTTTAAAATATCAGGAATTTTCCCTTGGATCTGGTTGTGAGAAAGGTTTAAATAATTAAAATGGGGAGATAAATTCCAAAACCAACTAGGAATGTTATCTAAAATTCCAGTACATGATAGATCTAGGTCCACAAAGCCCTTTTGTGAATGGAGCCATGCAGGAAATTGACGACCCAAATTCCAAGAGCCAAGTTCTATTCTATGAAGATGGAATGGAGGAATCCATTCAGAACTAACTTTTAAATCTAACTGGTTTCTAGATGCACCAAATTCCTTCAGACTCGAGAGATTGATGAAGTGAACTTCAGACACAACTCCTTCTAACAAATTATGATCGATATACAAACTTTTCAACTTTGAAAGGTGTCCTAGACTTTTAGGAAGAGTACCATTCAATTGATTCATTCCTAAATCCAGGTCTTCCAAGGATAGACATCTTCCTATACTCTTTGGAATAGGACCAGAAAATGAATTTTGCCCAAGATAAAGCATTTTTAGACTTTTGCATTTAGTCAAACTTTCAAACAACTCTGACATATCTCCCCAAAATTTGTTTTGTGACAAATCAAGGTTTTCCAAGTTGCAGGTTTTTCCCACCACTCTTGTTACTCTTCCTTCCAGTTCATTGGATGATAGATCAAGAGTAACAATAGAAGTCAGATTTTCAATAGAACTTGAGATCATACCTTCCAACTGATTTGTATTAAGGTCGAGCAACTCCAGATGGCTAAGATTGTACAACCAGTTGGGTATGCTAGAATTGAAATAATTCAGAGAAAGATCAAGATTTCTAAGTTCGGTCATGTTTTGGAGACCACTAGGAATTGGACCTTCAAAATAGCTAAAACCTAAATCAAGAGAAACGAGATTACTAAGACTAAAGATCCACCTAGGTATCAAGGAGTTAAACTCATTTTCAGAGAGATCTAGGACAACCAAAGAAGTAAAATTAACATACGGTAGAGGAGCAATGCGCTGAAGCCCACAATAGGACAAGCCTAAATCTACCAAAGAAGGAAGCATGTTAATTTCGTGCAGCCAGTTAGGTGTCTTGTTGAGATTCACTTGACTAAGGTCGAGGTGTTCCAATGTCGAAAGACCAGAAAGCCATTGAAGATTCTCAACCTCCAACACCGACTCATCATATGGAGAAGGACCTTTTAGACTTAGAGAGCGTAAACTAGAGAGATTTCCAAGTTGATGAGGAACAATTCCTGCAAATCCTGATTCAGATAAATTAAGATACTGGAGACATACTTGAGATCCAAGAAAGCTTGGAATTGGAATCCCTCCAAAATCATTTCCACTTAGATCCAAGTAATTCAAATGCTTCAAATCAAGCAAAGAAGGTGGAGCTCGTGGACATGGCCAGTTAAGTTGTTGCAAACAACTCCTGCCCATTTGCAACAATCATCTTCCAAATCCCATGAGGAAAGTCGGTTTGAAGGATCTTTTAAACCTTGCTTGAAGCTTAAAAGAGCTCGTTTCTCGCTCTCCAAACAAACCACCTCAAGGTTTCCATAGCAAGGAATTATGCTAATTGTTGCTATTATAAGGAAGCAAAGAAAAAGAACTTGAACGACTCTCTTGGATTCACCCATGCAACTCTGAACAATATGTTAATTGGTGAGCGGTTTATTAATTTCCATTAACTAGCTATGCACATATATATATATATATATATATATATATATGTGCATAGCTAGTTAATGGAAATTAATAAACCGCTCACCAATTAACATATTGTTCAGAGTTGCATGGGTGAATCCAAGAGAGTCGTTCAAGTTCTTTTTCTTTGCTTCCTTATAATAGCAACAATTAGCATAATTCCCTGCTATGGAAACCTTGAGGTGGTTTGTTTGGAGAGCGAGAAACGAGCTCTTTTAAGCTTCAAGCAAGGTTTAAAAGATCCTTCAAACCGACTTTCCTCATGGGATTTGGAAGATGATTGTTGCAAATGGGCAGGAGTTGTTTGCAACAACTTAACTGGCCATGTCCACGAGCTCCACCTTCAAAATACCTATGGTTACACAACTCAGGCTGAATTCAAAGTTTATATGAAATCGAAGTTGAGTGGTGAAGTGAATCCTTCTTTGCTTGATTTGAAGCATTTGAATTACTTGGATCTAAGTGGAAATGATTTTGGAGGGATTCCAATTCCAAGCTTTCTTGGATCTCAAGTATGTCTCCAGTATCTTAATTTATCTGAATCAGGATTTGCAGGAATTGTTCCTCATCAACTTGGAAATCTCTCTAGTTTACGCTCTCTAAGTCTAAAAGGTCCTTCTCCATATGATGAGTTGGTGTTGGAGGTTGAGAATCTTCAATGGCTTTCTGGTCTTTCGACATTGGAACACCTCGACCTTAGTCAAGTGAATCTCAACAAGACACCTAACTGGCTGCACGAAATTAACATGCTTCCTTCTTTGGTAGATTTAGGCTTGTCCTATTGTGGGCTTCAGCGCATTGCTCCTCTACCGTATGTTAATTTTACTTCTTTGGTTGTCCTAGATCTCTCTGAAAATGAGTTTAACTCCTTGATACCTAGGTGGATCTTTAGTCTTAGTAATCTCGTTTCTCTTGATTTAGGTTTTAGCTATTTTGAAGGTCCAATTCCTAGTGGTCTCCAAAACATGACCGAACTTAGAAATCTTGATCTCTCTCTGAATTATTTCAATTCTAGCATACCCAACTGGTTGTACAATCTTAGCCATCTGGAGTTGCTCGACCTTAATACAAATCAGTTGGAAGGTATGATCTCAAGTTCTATTGAAAATCTGACTTCTATTGTTACTCTTGATCTATCATCCAATGAACTGGAAGGAAGAGTAACAAGAGTGGTGGGAAAAACCTGCAACTTGGAAAACCTTGATTTGTCACAAAACAAATTTTGGGGAGATATGTCAGAGTTGTTTGAAAGTTTGACTAAATGCAAAAGTCTAAAAATGCTTTATCTTGGGCAAAATTCATTTTCTGGTCCTATTCCAAAGAGTATAGGAAGATGTCTATCCTTGGAAGACCTGGATTTAGGAATGAATCAATTGAATGGTACTCTTCCTAAAAGTCTAGGACACCTTTCAAAGTTGAAAAGTTTGTATATCGATCATAATTTGTTAGAAGGAGTTGTGTCTGAAGTTCACTTCATCAATCTCTCGAGTCTGAAGGAATTTGGTGCATCTAGAAACCAGTTAGATTTAAAAGTTAGTTCTGAATGGATTCCTCCATTCCATCTTCATAGAATAGAACTTGGCTCTTGGAATTTGGGTCGTCAATTTCCTGCATGGCTCCATTCACAAAAGGGCTTTGTGGACCTAGATCTATCATGTACTGGAATTTTAGATAACATTCCTAGTTGGTTTTGGAATTTATCTCCCCATTTTAATTATTTAAACCTTTCTCACAACCAGATCCAAGGGAAAATTCCTGATATTTTAAAAGTTAGTAGTGAGTTTTCAATGATTTACTTAAGTTCCAACCGCTTCAGTGGTCCATTACCTCGTGTCTCCTCAATGGTAACTGAGCTAGACCTTTCCAACAATTCATTTTTTGGAAATATTTTCCATTTCTTGTGTGATAGGAAAGACGAACCAAATAAACTAAATATCCTTCATCTTGGTGGAAATTTTTTATCAGGAGAAATTCCTGACTGTTGGATGAACTGGTCAGCATTGAAAGTCATTGAACTAGGAAACAACCATCTAAGTGGAAAAATTCCAAACTCCTTGGGATATTTAAGACAATTGCAATCCTTGCACTTGCGGAACAATAGTCTCTCTGGAGAAGTTCGTTTGAGTCTAGAGAATTGCACAGAGCTGATAACAATTGATCTTGGCTGGAATCAGTTTGTTGGAAGAATACCAATATGGTTGGGAAGGAGCCTTTCAAAATTGATGATTCTCGGTCTTCGTTCAAATAATTTCTATGGAAAAATTCCTTCTGAATTGTGCTACTTGACTTCTCTTCAAATCTTGGACCTTGCAAATAACAGTTTCTCAGGATCAATACCACACTGTTTCAAAAATTTCACAGCCTTGACCGTGAAACAGAATTCAAGCGTTCGTATTTCTTATTCAATTTACTCGGGAGTGTTCTTTGAAAATGCATTTGTAATGACCAAAGGTCAAGAGTTCCAATACAACACCATACTAACACTTGTAACTAGCATGGACTTATCAGACAATAATATGTCCGGAGAGATACCTGAGGAATTAACTAGTCTATTGGGATTACGATCATTGAATTTGTCAGGAAATCATTTAACTGGAGTGATTCCAAATAGGATTGGTGGCATGGTGTTATTGGAATCTCTTGACTTGTCAAAAAACCAACTTTTCGGTGAAATCCCAACAAGTATGTTGAATTTGACTTTCTTGAGTTATTTGAACTTGTCTTATAACAAATTGTCAGGGAGAATTCCATCTGGCACCCTAGCTTTATCGGCAACAAACTTTGTGGACCTCCACTCACAAGCAATTGTACCACCGATGGTGGCACACCTGAGATTGGAAAAAGAGATGAAGAAGGCACTAAATCTGAAGTGGATTGGTTCTACTTGGTTGTGGGATTGGGGTTTGTGGTGGGTTTTTGGGGTATTTTTGGTCCTTTGTTGTTCAACAAGACATGGAGATTTGCCTATTTTCAATTTTTAGATGAGATGTGGAACAAGATTTGTAATTGTATTAGCAAATGCTAAATTTTAAAAGCTGGGAAATGCTGTGTTGTATACCTTCTTGTGCAATAAAGGATTACCTCTCTACATCAATTGTTTATGTAGTCAAATTTTTAATGTTATACTTGTATTTAAGTTTTAGGGTATGTTACAAATACATCCCTTGAATTTTACTTAAAATACAAATTATTCTATGTAAATTATAAATACACTCTCTAAAATTTAATTAATTCACTAATAGTTTCAAGTAAAATACATATATTAGCAAATGCTAAATTTTAAAAGCTGGGAAATGCTGTGTTGTATACCTTCTTGTGCAATAAAGGATTACCTCTCTACATCAATTGTTTATGTAGTCAAATTTTTAATGTTATACTTGTATTTAAGTTTTAGGGTATGTTACAAATACATCGCTTGAATTTTACTTAAAATACAAATTATTCTATGTAAATTATAAATACACTCCCTAACATTTAATTAATTCACTAATAGTTTCAAGTAAAATACATATTCAATTTAAAATATAACATATATTATATACATATTTTTTTACCTTCGATAATGAATTAAACTATATTAACTTAATTACAAAATTTTGAACACTTAAGGTTATAAAATTCAACGATAACATTAAAAAAAAAAAATTGAGAAAAAATTAATAGTCAAAATAATAATACTTTACATCTTTTTAAAATTATTATTTTTGATCTTTGTCAATACCCATATGGGTGCAATAACACTTGAATGATATTTTTCTAACCTAAATGGCTAGTTGTCCGGTCAAGAATTCTCAACTTTAAAAATTCTTATCCATCTATTCATGATACACTCTAAACAATAGAACAAAATCTAAATATATGAAAATACAATAAAATAAAGAATCCTATGGTCAGTGGTCCTCGTTTTACTTTGATTTAGAGTCACTTTAACATTGTCATTGAATCTTGAATTTGAGAATGATTTGTAGATAAAAATAAAATAAAAAAAGTAAGTAATGTAAATAAAATATAAATATAAATTATTATTATTATTTTTTACATTTTCCTTTCTTTTTCTTTTTACTCCATAATTTCAAGATTCAAACAACATGGTAGTCAGTGCACGAGCGGTATAAATATGATGAAAAGTGCATGTCACCTAACCCAATCAACCACATTAACTTGCAAGGACTTCTCTCCTTCCTAATTCATCTCTCTCTTACTCTTTCCTTCAATTTTTCTTTAAATGCAAGCAAAAGTTTTCTACCTAAACTCAACTCACTTTTCTATTTTCACTTCTTTTTTAAAATTAAAAAAATAAAAAAAACCACGACCAATTGTGTAGAGGAAGTTGGTTTGGCAAATTGTGGGTGAGAGAGTTAAAATTTAACAGCTCACCAAAAGTGTGATGAGTTCGTATCATGTGGCATACTGCAGTGCCTTCAATTTTAGGTCTTAAATATATGGGTCCCTTGTGCTGCGTTTGGTTGGAGAATTTGAAGAGGAATTTGAAAAAAGAAAGGGAAAAGATGTGTAAAATTAAGTGAAACATAAGCATGTTTTATTCACAATTCACCTACCTTTTCCATTTTCTTTTCCAAATCCCTCTCCAAATCTCTCAACCAAACACAACATTAAAGTTGACATGACCGAGGGCTTGGGGATCATCTAAATAAGTAGTTGTTTAGGATGTGTTATTGTATGTTTTGACTTTTTGATTAAAAAAGTAAAGAAAAAAGATGTATATTTAGGATAACTTTTTGACCTCTTACAAAAAAAATGTATACTAAAATATTGTAATAAAATCAAAATGATCATTTTACCATTTTTGACTTTTTGACTTTTTTGGTAGTTGAATTCAAAGGATAAAATAATAATTTTGCCTTTGTAACTTCCCCCACAAACTACCTTGAATAATATAGACTTTTTAACATTTTAAATAATTTTTTGACTTTTTTAGTCTATCTCAAACAAGGCATTAAGACTTATTTTAAATTATATTATCTCTTAATTTTTTTGTATATCTTTTTATAAAAAGTCAAAAAATACACTAAGCAAACTTCAAAGACTAGAACTTTATTTTTATAAACATAATATTAATATATATAAGTTTATAAATGTATATTGTGTCAACTGTATCATGTGTCTGTAATAGTACTCGCACTTTTGGGACAGATAGAATGTGTTGCCTCTTCTATCTCAAAATAATTTTCCAAAACATCTTTTAAAAAAAACCAAACCAAACATGTTTTCGTACTTTTTATCTCTAAAACACATCTCTCAAACACAAACCAAACATACCCATTATCTCTTAATTTTTTTGTATATCTTTTTATAAAAAGTCAAAAAATACACTACTAGAACTTTATTTTTATAAACATAATATTAATATAAGTTTATAAATGTATATTGTGTCAACTGTATCATGTGTCTGTAATAGTACTCGCACTTTTGGGACAGATAGAATGTGTTGCCTCTAGTGAGGGTTTTTTATTTATTTATTTATTATTATTATTTTTTTGCAAATAAGATATTTTTATGTAGTAACATATTTGAATGTATTGGTTTATATAGTAAAATATATCATTTTATATTGATGTTCTAACTAATAAGTGAAAATTAATGATCGGTGAAAAGTAATATCATACCGTCTCTTTCTTGAATTTTATTGATTCACGAGATTATTTTTATTGATAAAAACAATCCATGAACTAATAAAAATTAAGGAGAGCAGATGAGAACAAATGGTCTCAGTTTGTGTTCAGTTGGTATATTTGTTAGCATGTTGATTAGTGATTTTTAAAATTCTCAACAAAATGAGAAATTATTTAGAGCTATTTGGGGCTCCGTTTTGGAAGGGTTATTTTATATAGCCTAAGGCTCCGTTTGGGAAGAGTTATTTGGGATTTTTTCTGGTTATTTTAGTCACAAAAGACAAAATAAGTTATTTTAGCCACAAAAAATAAAATATCGCATCGTATATATAAGTTTATAAATGTATATTGTGTCAACTGTATCATGTGTCTGTAATAGTACTCGCACTTTTGGGACAGATAGAATGTGTTGCCTCTAGTGAGGGTTTTTTATTTATTTATTATTATTATTTTTTTGCAAATAAGATATTTTTATGTAGTAACATATTTGAATGTATTGGTTTATATAGTAAAATATATCATTTTATATTGATGTTCTAACTAATAAGTGAAAATTAATGATCGGTGAAAAGTAATATCATACCGTCTCTTTCTTGAATTTTATTGATTCACGAGATTATTTTTATTGATAAAAACAATCCATGAACTAATAAAAATTAAGGAGAGCAGATGAGAACAAATGGTCTCAGTTTGTGTTCAGTTGGTATATTTGTTAGCATGTTGATTAGTGATTTTTAAAATTCTCAACAAAATGAGAAATTATTTAGAGCTATTTGGGGCTCCGTTTTGGAAGGGTTATTTTATATAGCCTAAGGCTCCGTTTGGGAAGAGTTATTTGGGATTTTTTCTGGTTATTTTAGTCATAAAAGACAAAATAAATTATTTTAGTCACAAAAAACAAAACATCACATCTAACCCATAATCATTACACTCTTCTCTCATAAAAAAAGTCAAAAAAGTCAAAAAGCCAAAAAGTCTTTCCCAAACCAAGTTTTTTAGTCCAGGCTAAAATAGTCAAAAAAGTCAAAAAATTAAAAAGTCAACCCACTCCCCAAACGACACCTTAGTAAGTTCAAATGCCTTTATTATTGTTAAGTGGACACACCATCATGGGATAAGCTAGATTCGTCAAATATAAGCATACTTTTTATTTTTTTATTTTTTTTGGATCATATTACTTTTGTATTTTTTTATACATTTTTTTATAAAAAAATATTCAAAAAATACACTAAGAAAAAAAATTTGACATTGATCAAAAGGCAAAAATATTTGTATCAAGTGGCGGTATTACCATCAAATGAATTAATCTCACTTTAATATAGTTAAATTAGTGAGAAATAAGACTTGTCTATTTAATTTTAAGTTAAATTATACTTTCACCCTTATAGTTTAAGCTAAATTTTACTTTAATTTTTATTATTTTAATTTTAATAATTTAGATATTACATTTTAAGTTGATTTTTGATTTTATCTTTCCATTAAAATTTTGAAATTAATAACTTTGTAAAACGTGCCAATCTTTTAAGATATACACATTGAAAAATCAATGTCTATTTGGACGTAAAGGCTGGATTAAAACTAAATTTAAAATATACAGATTAAATTATTTAAATTAAAACAATATGAACTAATATGAAATTCGAGTCAAGTTATAGGATAAAAAATATATTTTGCCTTAATTTTGTGGACCTGGAACCCCTCCAATTCTTGAGGGTATTGTTTAGGTCCGTAGAAGTCATCACAGATCTCATTTTAATGATCTGAATCTTTTTATCAAGCATTTCACAAATATCAATTACAAAAAAAAAAATTAGATCGATTTGATAAATGTAATATATACAATTTATTACATTTGTGACCAAAAAAATAGATGAAAATTGTGTTTTTAAAAATAAACCATTCATTTTTTTTTCATGACAAATGCAATGAATTGGATAGGTTACTATTATCAAACCAACCTAATTTTCTTTATGATTGAAATACAAAATGTTCAATAAAATAAATAGTTCTAATCATTAAAACAATATCTGTAGTGAACTTCACGGTCGAAACAATGCACTCTAATCTGGATTAAAGAGCAGAGATGATCCACTCGCTAAATTTATTAGAAAATGCTAAAAGTCCAAAATTTTAATCAAATGCCTCATATGAATGTAGACTTTACACTTATGTGGGACTCGCTTTACGTGAGACATTTGATAAAATATTTGATAAAAATTTTGATATGTCTAACATTATTAAAATTTATTTAGTTAATAATGACACGTGTCAAAAGTTCATTCGCAGAGAGCGCCAATTGTCGGGGACTACACAATAAAAAAGAGAAATGCTATAAATTTTAAATTTTCTACTAAACAAAATGACTAAATGACTTATATGAATATGGAATCCACATCCATATAAGACATTTAGTCATCTATTTAATAAAAAATTTGATACCTATGGTGTTACGGTGAAAAAAAACCCCCGTGAGGACGTTAAATAGTAACGGCAAATGCGTGGGACTGAAGTCACTGGTCGAACACTTATCTTTCTCTCTTTCTCCAAAAGTTTCTCTCTCTAGTAGAGTCTAATATTCCATTTTCGTTTGCTGTTTCGATGATGATGATGATATATAGATGTTCGACAAAAACGAACGCGAAGAGGAAAGAGATCATAATCTAACATCTATTTCAGGTTTGATTCTTATACATTCATTTGATTATTATCTACAGATTATGATGATCATTACCGACACTCTGATTTATATATATATATATATGTTTAATATGTAATTATTATTTGGTTGATTTGTGAATTTGATTCTGAATTTTATATTGGAGGTTGTTGAATTTGGGGGCTGTAATGGAGGGGAAGAAAGGAAATCGGTGGTTTTCGAAGGTGAAGAGAGTTTTTAAACCTTCGTCTAAGGACTCGCCGGAGAAGAAGGTCTGTTCATTTTTCACGTTATACATCTACATATCTCTAATTTAATTACCATACATTATAATTATATAAATTACATCGGTATTTCTTATACTTTCATATTTATGTCATTTCAGTGGTTATAAATTAATTGACTCCATTTTAATTATGAATTTATAATTTCATCTCAATTTATGTATTATATTTTTTAGTGTGTTAATTTCAACTAATTCAGTAATCATTTTTTATGTATAAAAAAAATACTAACGACATTATCAATTGGTCTAATTGATGCAAAATCTAAAATTACGAGATAAAATTGAGTAAATTAAAGGTGTAAGGACCAAAATAAAGAAGGGATAAAATGTAGGAATCACTAATGTAATTTGTCTTAATAATAATAATAATCATTCTTATGGTGCTGTGAAGAAAATTTCTATTTAGTTGAATTTTGAGAATCCCTTTTTTAAAATTAGTTTAGTGGGAAAAAAATTATGAAAAACACTCCTCATTAAATATATATATTTTTTTCTTTTTGGGTTAGATATAATTATTAAATTTTTTAAAATTCTGGGTTTATTTTTGGTCAAATTAATTTTTTATTTTTATTAAATTAAAAAAAAAAGTTTTGAAAACTCAATCAAACAAATATCGCCAAAAATAAAATGTTAACAGTTTAGTGTGTTATATTATTACTATTGTGTGTTTGATGATTTTTCACAAGTTAAAACTCCAAACTTCCCCCTCCAAATCAGAAAAATATACTTAATTCAAAATTTAAATATATAATGTAAATTTAAATATATAACTCATATTTAGTATTCTGAAATTCACATTAGAACAAGTCTAATCCATACATTCAACGTTCGAAATATTTTTTTCCAGCATAACAATACTGAAGTCTCTTAATTTGTCAAAGATTGCCCTCTCTTTCTTCCAATTTTTTTTTTAATAAAATTGAATTAAAAAGATAATTTCATTTTCTTGGTATAATAAATTCCAAACATGTGATCCAAAAATTAATGGCATTAATTTTTTTTAAATACCCCTCATTCATCTCCATTTATTTGTTTTGATTTCTTGGCACCACCTAGTTAGAGTCATCATACATATATGCATGAAGCATACCCTAATACCAAGAATCAAAATACAAGAGGATAAATCCAAGAAGAGATAATGAAATAAAAGTATCTATTTGGCCATTAATTTATGATATTAGTTTGAAATGGATAATTAATTACATTTTAGTTTTTTTGCCTCTAAAGGATGAATAATCTTATACCATATTCCAAGTTTAATAAAGCTTTATTTACTATCTTTTTATATGATATTTAGTATATCATCTTATGTGGCAAATCTAATGTTCTTGATAAAATGGGTCTTACCTGAGTTTTGTTAATACCCAATGGTACACATCTACAATTCTTGATGCAATGGATCTTACATGAGTTCTGTTAATATCCAACGGTTGTGGATGTGTCACATGAAATGACATACTAAATGTGGTATAAATATGATAATGTACGTATTATTTAGGAGAAATTACTCTAACCTCCCTTGAGGTTCAGAGAAATTATATTGAGTCTCGTAAGGTTAGCACAATTATATTGAGATCCCTTATTGTTTTTGTTCACATAACCCTTAACATCTTTTTCATCCGTAATTCGTTAGTCATATGGATGGAAAAATAATATTTGCATTTTTTATTATATTAAATATGTATTTACCTTGTTTATCCATGTGTCTAAACCCCATTTACATTAATTTTGAACATGTGAAACCGGTTTAATTATGTCAAATTTATGTGATTTATTGTAGTTTTTTTTAATCTAAAAATGCTCAATGTAATTTACCCTATTATTTAATATCAAGATATTATCATTATCTGATAATAATTAATCTCGGTAACAACTAACTCATATCACAATTTTTGTGTGCTCTCATTTGTAGACATCTGATAATGGCCCTGTTTGGTACAGCTTAATTTCAGCTTATTTCAGCTTTCAGTTTAATTTAAGCTATTTTGATTTGTTTGGTTTAGCTTATAGCTTATAGCTTATAGCTTATAGCTTATAGCTTTGTGGAAGTCAGAAAACAGCTTATTCTTTAAGTGGGGCAGGAGATGCTTTAAGAATAAGCTGGAAATCAGCTTAAGCTGAAAGTTATAAGCTATAAGCAGTTTAGGCATAAGCTATAAGCACTTTTCCACAGCTCTACCAAACAGAGCCAATGTGTACTTCAATTTGAACAATAATGATCAGCTGTGTGTGATAGGACCATGAACATAAACCAGAGAATATGGTCCCCCATCAACTTGGGCCAAACATTGTTATTGACATATACTTATCATTCCACCTAAGCAATCACGTCATCCACGATGACCATCAAGTGATTTTTATGTTAGATCCCAATCTTTCCCATGAATTCTTCCTATGTATAAACTAGGGTATCGTAGGTAAGCTGATCCACCTGAGTAATTATTGATTTGTTTATTATTTGAACCAATGTTAAATAAGTTTTGATCAATTGGAGCTCAAAACTTTGAGCTGGTCCAGCTGTGTGTGATAGTACACATAAGTTTATCGAGCTGAGTAATAAGTAGTTCAAGATTGACTTGAAAACTTAACAAGTTTAAAAATGTATTCAGTCTTGTCTTTTTTAAGAGTATTTGGAAAGCGTTTTTAACATATTAGTTTGATACATATTATTGGACTAATTTCTTAACAATTTAAGTTTTAGGGACAATTGGTGATCTAACATGATATTAGAACTGTAGTTCTAGAAGTTTTGTTGCGGTTGCACATAAGAGAAAGTAGGCTTGATATGCTTTGCTAGCTCATTAACACTAGAGCTTTTGTAGAAAATTCATGATCCTACACACAAATTGAACATGAGTCGAGCTCAGTAGCTTGATTTGATTTTCAAATAGCAATAATTATGTATGTTTTCATTAGTGAAAAAGTAGAGAGGTCATATTGATAAGTGCAAACCCACTGAGCAAGGACATGGTTTTCAGAAAGACAATGTGGAGAAATGGCAACAACAACAGGCACCAGAGGTTCTGTCATTAGTACATTTTCCGGCAGAAACTTCACCCGATCACATCACGAATAACGATGAGGGCAACGAGTCATCATCTCCAGCGATTCCTCGAGATCGAAACCATGCCATTGCTGTTGCAGTTGCAACTGCTGCAGCTGCAGAAGCTGCAGTTGCAGCTGCCCAAGCAGCAGCGAGAGTAGTTCAGCTGGCAGGCTATGGAAGACACCCTAAAGAAGAAAGGGCTGCAACTCTCATTCAATCATATTACAGAGGATACCTGGTATCTCTCTCTCTCTCTCTCTCTCTCTCTCAATTAACAGTTGTTTTATCAATATATTTTTGAAAGTAGAGGATGTTGGCCTGAGTTTTTGGCTCCAAATTGGGTGGAAGAAAATTTCCTAGCCAAAACCCTTTTTAAGAAAGAAAAAAAAAAAAATGCACAAAACAGTGTCTGGCAATTCTGCATTCATCTTGGATCTGGCTCATAGTCTACCTAAATGAATGCATTCTCTGCACTTTCGGTGAAAAAATTAATATGTTTTTAACATTATTGATGTGAAAATGACGAATATGCGAAAGTAGAATTGCTCAATCAAATGACAATGTTATTTCTGGCTCAATCTGTAGTTTCATGTTAAAAGTTATTTCTGCCTCAGTTTTTGGCTCCAAATTGGGTGGAGGAAAATTTCCTAGCCAAAACCCTTTTTAAGAAAAAAAAAAAATTGCACAAAACAGTGTCGGCAATTCTGCATTCATCTTGGATCTGGCTCATAGTCTACCTAAATGAATGCATTCTATGCACTTTCAGTGAAAAAAATTAATATGTTTTTAACATTATTGATGTGAAAATGATGAATATGCGAAAGTAGAATTGCTCGATCAAATGACAATGTTATTTCTGACTCAATCTGGAGTTTCATGTTAAAAGCAATTAAAGGAATTCTAAGTCATAAAAGATTGGAAAAATCAGGCCTGTAATCCCTATATTTTGGCTTTGTCCTTGTAATGTCTCTTAGCTCAATTTTGACTCTAAATTTATGATTTTGTCTCAATTTGGTCTAACTAATTATCACCGGTCTTTTGTATGAATATTGGGCACATGAGCGGAATGTATTAAGCTTTTAGAACCAAATTTGAGTTGTGAGTTAATCTCAACCAACCCAGTAATCATTTTTCATCAAAAACTCTAATCAACGTTATCAATTGGACTAAATTGATAAAACACAAGAAACAAATTGCTCTAAAAATTTGATAGTCTGGCAAGAAGTCTTTTTGTTGTGTAACCACTAATAATAGTATAATCTCCTAATTTTTGAACCACTCGATTGATTGATTGGTATGTGGCAATTGGTTTCATAATAAGGCAAGAAGAGCATTGAGAGCATTGAAAGGTTTGGTTAGGCTACAAGCCCTAGTGAGGGGATATAATGTTCGCAAGCAAGCCCAGATGACAATGCGTTGCATGCAAGCATTGGTTCGAGTGCAGGCTAGAGTTCGTGCACGCAGGCTCACATTAGCACAACCACCGAAGAAGCTTTTTCAGATTCAGAAAAGTGCTAAAGTAGTAGAACAAGAAGAAGAACAAGACCAAAGTACTGCTGCCAGAAAACATGATTATGGTGTGATGAAAAGCTTTTTTTTTTTTTTTTTTTATTTTTTAATTTTTTATTTTTTTTTTTTTTTTTTTTTTTTGTGAATGTTTGACAACTGTTTTTGTTTGTAAAGAAAATAAAAGGTTTTAATAGTAATAGAATATTTGGAAACAAAAATATTTTAATTTGTTTGGCAAACCATTTTGGGAGAATTGTTTTTGAAAACAACTTACTTTTAAGCAGAAAAAAAGTTGGTTTTTTGTTTTTAATTCTTTTAAAAATGATTTTTTGCATGAAAAAGAAAAGGATCTACAATGATGGATCATTTGAGATTTTTCATTATTTTTATTTTTGAAATCATGAAAAACGAAATTGAAGAAAAAGATTACACACCCAAACTTGCATTGCGTGTTTTTACTTGTTTTGAAAACAAATTTTATTCCCTCCTCTTTCCCCACCACCTCCAATCAACCCCCCTCATCTATTGGGCACCACTTCCACCCATCTTCTCCCTCTTCCCTCTAGTCATTCCTTCGGTTACTCCGCAAGCATTTTTTTCTTTTATTTTTATAAAAAATTAAACAAATATATGTTTTTGTAAATAAAAATAGTAAATTATTAACATTAAATTATTCTACTATATATGTTATTACTTTTTTTTTTTTGTCAATATTTCACCTTCTATATTAATATCTTGCTATGTGAACAGTAAATCAAAACAATGAAAAGAAACAGATGACATATGTCGTCGTTCTATCAAAAAAATCTTTATTTCATGGGCTCACTACTCCTACGATAGTCTTATTCATTTTTTAAAGTATTTTCATTATTTAAATTTTCTTAATTGCAACACCAACAACAGCAACAACAACAACGACAACAAGAAGTCTTGCATTTAGACGAATCAAAAGGCAATGACGTTGATTTATACACCAATAAGCGTGAAAATGAGCAACGGGGATGGAATTGGCTTGAGCATTGGAAGGCATCGCAGCCATCCCATGCCCGAAACATGGGGCCAAGGGAGAGCCGCTATGTGACACTCGCCACTACCGATGACACCTTCAAAAAGGCCGTTGAAATGGATTTGGTAACACCAATGGGCTCAAAAAATATCAATATGGGTCGGATCAATGGTGGCTCAATTGAATCAAATCCGTACCCAACTCACCCGCGAATACATTTAGGCTTTGATGGTGTCCCAAGCTATATGGTTCCAACCCAATCTGCAAAAGCCAAGGTGCGGAGTCAAGCCACTGTGGGCCAGGTTAGCCCATCAGTAGCAGCTCGCTGGAATCCCTCAACAAAGAGAGGAACAACTGTTGGGTCGGGTTGTGATTCGCCGGTCTCAAGTGGAGGATCAACTACTTATCAGGCCCCAAGAAGCCCAAGCACAAAATGGAATCGGCCTAACGGGCCTAGTGTTCAGGCTCAATGGATTTCAGGCCGTAGCCCGGATTGTAGCAGGGATGGCAGGGCACTTCCATTGGGAAGTCATAAATGGAGACACACTTTTGGTTAATTGTGTTGAGAGATCCTTTTTATAATGTGTGATAGTTAGACTTTCTCATCATTGTGTGTGCGATTATTATCACTTATTTATATGTTGTACAATTTTATTTATTAGTATTATTATTTTTAAATTAGGCATAGTGTTTGTTGTGGTTCTGTTCTATTCTTTGTATTTTGACAATAATGTGATCATTGTTAAAAGTATGTCTCTAGAGGCGAATTTCTCGTCATAGTAGAGTTCTTTTCGTTGTACCATTGATCCTTATAATTTGAATGAAATTTTACTTTCATTATCGCAATTTTAATTTAGATGATTTAAATTTTGTTGACATGCGATCCCTATATGAATTTTGAACCCAAGAAGATCATGTACGGGACTTTTGCATGAAATTTTGTTCTATTGAAAATTCTATCAGTAAGTGACGGAAAAAACATATTCAAACACAAAATTGAAAATGTATAGCTCAAATTGTCCAATTGAAACTACAAAAACTAATACTCTGTTGGCGTTTGGTATAATAAAAAAACAAAAGTTAATGGAAAATATTTCTTATGATCAACGGAAAACAAGTTTATTTAGACAAAAAAATATTTTTTACTTTAAAAAGACTGGAATTCTGAATTAAAGTTTGTAAGAGGAGTTCATTTGAGCCCATTAAATTAATTAGGCCCAATAGTCCAAGGTTGGTGGGCCCGAATTTATCGCAAGTCCAAGATTGGTGGGCCCGGATTTACTGACATCAAACGGGCCGAATCGCTCTAAGTCTCGAAAGGGTTCGGATCCACGAACTTAGAGACTTACTGAAGCTCGGACTCGAAAGGGTTTGGATCCACGAACCTAGAGATCCGAAACACTTGGCTTCGAACGGATTTAGACGCAATCTAGAAGCCGCTCCATTAATGAGTCCCAAAACATTTGCGGACTCGGAGCTTTCCGGGATCTACGTACCAGAACCATGGGCGTAATGGAGTCCGAATAAAGGACCCGATCCCGAGGACGGTAAGTGAAGATAAATTCACTCTTCGGTTAAACTAGCCTATATCCGGGTCGAGGTGGCACGATCTAGGGGGTCCCTGAGACTCGGCAATATTTGTGGTAGGGCGTTCTCTTAAACTACCCCTGACCCTTCTACGGCAGGACGTCCTTTGGGACTATTCCTGACCCTTTGGGATGATTGAGGATCATTGGTTAGGTGTGGCTAAGAAGAAGGGTTCACTGAGAGGTTGATCTCCTCTTCGAGGGTTTTCCTCATCCTCGGAGAGGTTACCTCCTTGGACAAGATGGTTAGGGAGAATATTCTCCATGTGCCTTGCACATGGGCTCCATCCTACATCATGAGGTGTCTAGAAATAGCACCCACCTATAGCTTTACAAGGGACAGATTTTGGAGAGACAACTCTTGGGAACTCTGGGGAAAGAATTAATTTCCCTTCTCCATTATCAACCTTGAGAGTGAAAGTGAGAGATTCATGGGAGAGCCTTGCCATTATTCTCTCTCTAGCTACTTTGTCTTCTTCTTCACTCAATCTCTTGTCTCCATCATCTTTTTGCTTTTGTGTTCTTAGTTGAGACTATTGAAGAATCTAAGCCTCTCATCATCTTCTAGAGAATTCGAATTTTTCTTCAAGGATCTTAGAAGATCTTCGAATTTTCCAACGAAATTCTTGAACCCTCTCATACATTTGGCGACTCCACTGGAGAGCCGGATTGGTTAATGGTCTCAACAAGATCCGGAATCTACACAACTCCGGTGAAGATGGCGAGAGAAGAAGAAGTTCATCAACAAGGTTCTTCCAACGATGGTGATGAGATAACTCAAGTTCAAGACGCACCTCTCATCCTTGAAGCCATTCAAGGGCTCCAACACACTTAACAAGAGATTCTCACGACCCTTCAAAATCTCACCCACACCATGTTGGTGATGAGTTCGAATTTCGCACCACCAGCAACAAATGGAGGTCAAATTGGCGCCGACAAGCATCAACAACTTCATAGTAATGTTGGGAATGGTCAAAACCATCAAGATCCACTCCAAATTCTCCCTAAAATTGTACAAAATGGTGTGCAAAATCAAGTGCTAGGAGGAATAAGTCATGGCCAACCTGCGGCCCATGAAGCGCAAAATCACACAACTGGAGGATCGAGTCATGGTCTAGCAGTGGTTGGAGGAGTTTTCGGCGCGATGAATGGTGTTCTAGTGGCTGTGGAAGTTCAAGGAAGGCCTATAGAAATTCCTCTACAAAATGGTGCTCCATCCATGCCTGATTTTGTTCCACCGATTGTAAATTCTACTCATGTACCGAATGGGTCTCCTTTGGCTCCGACGCCAAGTTTGCAAGTCCAACCCATTATAGCCGTGGCACGCAATGAACTTTATGGGACCCAATGCAACGTTCCATCACCAAATGGCATGTCCATAGGTGTCGATGGCCAATATCGTCATGTGTCTTCACTGATGATGAATTCTCAACATCAGAGCGGCCAAGTTGCTCCTAGTTCAGTCTTCGAGTCCATAAGCCAAGTTCCGGGAATGCCACCATCAAACTCTCTCCCTCAACAGTTTCTCACTCTCGCCGATGTGCAAGCCATGTTCAATCTCGAACGCAGCAAGAGGACTTTACTCTCTTTGCCTGATCCGGATGTCAAGCCACCTTACCCTATCAAGATGTTGAGTTATCCATACCCGGAGGGGTACACAGTGTCGAAGTTCGTTAAATTCGATGGCAAGCAATGAAATGCTCGAGAACATGTTGTGTGGTTCATCGAGACTTTGGGGATTCATGGTTCAAATCATGTCCTCCAATTGAGAGAATTCTCCAAGTTCCTCACCAACCGAGCATATAGTTGGTACCTTAACTTGACCCCAAACTCTGTTCGGAGTTAGGAGGAGATGGTTAACAAATTCCACACCAAATTCTTTCAAGCGGTTGAGAAGGTAACCGCATTTACCTTATGTAAGGAAAAAAACGAGAGGGTGAAGACATTCTCGAATATGTAAAAAGGTTCCAAGACAAAGCCGTGGACTATCATGAGGCTGTGGAGGAAAGCTACATGGTCCAAATCTGTGTTGAAGGGGCATTGAACGGGTACAAGATGCTTCTTGTTAATCTCAAGCTACCCACCTTTTCGGCACTAATTGAAGCATCTCGGAACATCAACATACCTCAATCTCAGGAGAGCGGGTTCGAGACTAGTTATAAAACCAGCTTCAAGTCATACCGCGGACCTTTTGTCACTGCGGCTTCCGCATCTTCTATACGAAAGTCGCAGGGAGAGGAATTCAAAGGTCAGAAGAGGAAAAACTGTGAAGATGGCACTCATTTTTCGTGTAGTGTAGAGAAGGTGAAGGTCTTAGTTAAAGAATGGGTGGCAGACGCGGAACTAAAGTTGCCTCGTATCAAAGAGCTTTTGTCGAATAAGGACCGTGAGGGTCCTAATTATTGTGTTTTCCACCAATCACTAGGACATCCTATAGAAAAGTGCCGGACACTTAAGAAGATCTTTAGAAAGAAAGTCGAAGCAGATAAGCTAGAGTTTAAAGAACAAGGGCCCCATGATATCTTAGAAGACATGGCTATGATGGTGCGTGATGGCCACAGCCCGAGTAGCTGGTGAAAGCTTTCCAAATGACCTTGCAACTCTAGGGGCAAATGTCAACATTCCACAGAAAAAGTCTATCTATGACATTTACAATTTGTATTTACTGCATTGTTCAAGAATTTTCTATCTTTTTTTTTTTATGTTATGAAGAAAGTTATTTCCTCAACATTGTGTATCTATATTAGAAGTTATTTTTTCTACATTGTATATCTTCATTGTGTTATGTTGCTTGAAACAGTTTTCAATTTTTTGTTGGCCCTTAAAGAAGAAAGAAGAATAGTAAACTCGGTTACTAACCTGAAGGGATCTTTCTTGCTGAAGTAGTGTGTGCTCCTTCTCGGACTTCCGAAGAACAACCATTACTTTCATCAGTGCGAGCTTCGAGGATCTTTCTTGTTGAAATAGAGTGTGTGCTCCCACTCGAACTTCTAAAGAATAGCCCTTACCTCATCAATACGAGCTCCGAGGATCTTTCTTCAAAGTAGAGTGGACTCTTACTCGAACTCCCGAGGGATAGCCTTTGCTTCCATTAGCTGCCAAAGTAGAAGTGCGCATCCACTCAGACTTCCGATGTTTTCGCTCAGACTTCTGAGGGAGAGTCTTGTTTCCGCTCGAACTTCTGAGGAACAGCCTTGTTTCTGCTTGGATTTCTGATAGGCAATTTTTACTTTTGTTGGTGCAAGCTTGGTAGACTTGGTTGCCTTCCAGAGGGATCTTTCTTGCTGAAGTAGGGTGTATGCTACTTTCGGACTCCTGAGAGACAGTTTTGCTTTCGTTCAGACTTCTGAAGGACTGCCCTTGCTCTCATTAGTGCGGGTTCTGAGGGACCCGAGATTGTGGATTTCGCACAAAAATTTATTTGCCTGAAATAGTAAAGCCGACAAACTAGATAAACAATATCGAGTTCAGATTATGATTTAAACATTACCGAAATAGAGGCGACATCAACAATAGTAATGATCTACTTAAACTACAACAATTTTATTCCTCTGAGTGAGTTCATGAAAATGCAACAATCAAGGTTTTGTCTCTCCGAGCCGACGTAAAGCTACAACGGTCACACAAAATTTTGGCATCAGCTATGTATTTCCCAAGCATCCACAAGATCAATGAAACTACAATGATCAATTGCTCGACAACAAAATTTATATTCAATAATATGGGTTCAAGATTCACTCAACATCTTCAAGCTCAACAAATTGCAGTACCAATGTGTGTATCATCAACATATAGATTTCAAGTTTCTATCATCAATAAGAGGTGTAATGCCATAGGCCGTTTTGTGATGAAATTCAAGTGGGTCATTTTCTCAAAATTATTGTGTTTCATATTAAAGATTCAGCTTATACAAGGCTCAAACTGTGGGTAGAGTAAAGTTCAATGGCAAATTTCAGCCCCAAGATCAAAAGTATTTTTATATTTTTCATCTGTAGCAAGATTTAGTAGATTGTCCAACAAATTGCAAGAGTGTTCCTCCCAAGTCAATGTTCATAGCCTAGAATTTCTTTGGCAAATTTCGAGTCAAAAAAACCATTTAAATAAAACTTATAGCCTATTTCGAAAATTGCAAAGCCCAAACAAATTCAAGTTCCACATTGGAATTTCAAATCACAAATATTAAGGCTTAGTGTATCAAAGTCTTTGAGCAAAAAAAAAAATGAAATTAGAAATTCTGAAAAGCTTATTTTACAAAAAGCTTAGAGCATCTCCAACGGTAATAGGCATTTTACCTATCTAAATATTACTATAAAGTATATATTTTATTTTGCCTATCAACTATTTCATATTTCTACTCCAACCATGCTCTTTATTTTAGCTATTTATCCAAATACTATTAATTTTATAGAATGCCACGTCAACAACAAAGATGGAGGGAAATGATCCTAATGATTGAATACATTTTGCCTAGCGTTGAAGGCTAGCTACATGTAGATAGTGAATATGAGTTGAGCCAAAATGCCTAATCATATGCCTAGTGCATTGGAATTGAAAAAAGTGAATCACACTAGGCATTTTAACTAACAAGTATTATATGCCTAGTGCATTGGAGATGCTCTAATGATTCATATCACTGAAGGTATGTATTTATTTGGGTATGTGCCTGTGGACCAAGTTTACAACATGTGATAAGATGTACCTCATTTATTATATGGTATAAATCAAGCATATGAAAGATGAAAAAAGATGGGATGGCATATCAGCACCGGTTCCTCTTTATACCATTGTAATTTTATCACCCAAATGCATCACAATTTCATTTAGAGACATTTGACATTTGAAATACTTTAGACATTTGACCTAGCTTCATTACAAAATATATTTTCAACATAATAGGCAACACATTAGGTATTTTGTCTCATCTTATTTTAACTAATTATATTTACAGATTCTTTGAGGCTAGGGAAATTAATTTAAGGAGAGAATGTTGTTGGATATATATTTGGCAAAGTAATTCAGAAAATAAAAAGTACGGCTATGTTTGGTTGTGATTTCAAAACGTGATTCTACACCATAGTTTGAGTATGATGTTTGTTTGGTGTTTTGAAATCACATTTCAAACGTTCTGCAGAGAGCTCTGTCTCTGCTCTGTCTCAGCTGCACATTTCAGCTTTTTTTTTTTGAAAATTTTACCTGGCGGGACGTCCGGCCGGTCGACCGGCCGGTTAACCGGAATAGTGATTTTTTTTTTTGCAATTGATTTATATAATTGAAAAAAACATTTTCTGAAATTTTTAAAATTTTTTATGTACTTTAAAATAATTTTGAGTTGTATGTTTAGTTATGAATTGTAAATTTTTGTATCACATATCAAATGTCACATCAATAATTTCCCATTCAAATCAAAACCCTTTTCAAAACTATTAAAACTCTTTACCAAACAAATTTTCTACACTCAAATCATAATTCCACAACACACAAACTCAAAATATAACTCATACTTTCAAATCACATTTACAAAATTCTACCAAACGCTACCTACATTTTTTTATGTATTTTTACTAGACAAAATCCCTTTTAGTGTTGGAGTTGCCCGTAGGACTTAAATCTCCAACATGATGAAGTTACGCTTGAACCCCAACCTTTGGAAGAAGAAGTTCTCAATTTCATTTAGTAAAATGTTCATAAACAGAATTTTTATTAGAAATTTTTATTTATTTATTATGGTGAGCAAGGATCCTCTAGAGTGATTTTTCTCTAAAGTTTCCTAGATTGCTACATTGTGTGGTTGAGATTTACTGGCAAGTCACATCAGAAAAATTGATATGACTTGCCAGTAAATCTCAACCACACAATGTAGCAATCTAGGAAACTTTAGAGAAAAATCACTCTAGAGGATCCTTGCTCGTTCATGAAAGATCAAAAATCTGGAGTCATGCAAGCTTTCCAGGTAATTGACAAATTTAAGTTGACTTTCGAAAAAACAAATCAGTGGAAAAAAAAAAAGAAAGAAGTTAAAAAAATATAAATAAATAAATAAAGAAAAAAAAAGAGATATTTATTTATTTATTTAATATTATTTGTCAATTTTATCTGTAAATTACGGTGAGTTTTCAGCTTTACCCTTAGACTCTGTCAAAGACTAAATATTCCTAAAAACGTAATGCGAAGCATGGCTGATAAGATGAAATTATGCATGTCCAAGAAAACCACTATTTCTCATACACGCAAGGGGCAAATGTAAGAGGAGCTAATTTGAGCCCATTAAATTAATTAGGCCCAATAGTCCAAGGTTGATGGGCCCAAATTTATCACAAGTCCAAGATTGATGGGCCCGAATTTATCGGCATCAAACGGAAGCCTCGAAAGGGTTCGAATCCACGAACTTAGAGACTTACTTGGGCTCGGACTCGAAAGGATTTGGATCCACGAACCTAGAGATTCGAAGCACTTGGCTTTCGAACGGATTTAGACGCAATGTAGAAGCCGCTCCATTAACGAGTCCCAGAACATTTGCGGACTCGGAGCTTTCCGGGATCTACGTACCAGAACCATGGGCGTAATGGAGTCCAAATAAAGGGCCCGATCTCAAGGACGATAAGTGGAGATAAATTCACTCTTCGGTTAAACTAGCCTATACCTGGGTCGAGGTGGCACGATCTAGGGGGTCGCTGAGATTCGGCAATATTTGCGGCAAGACGTTTTCTTGAACTACCCCAGACCCTTCTGCGGCAGGACGTCCTCTGGGACTATCCCTGACCCTTTAGGATGATTGAGGATCATTGATTAGGTGTGGCTAAGAAGAAGGGTTCGCTGAGAGGTTGATCTCCTCTTCGAGGGTTTTTCTCATCCTCTGAGAGGTCACCTCCTCGGACAAGGTGGTTAGAGAGAATATTCTCCATATGTCTTGCACATGGGCTTCATCCTACATCACGAGGTGTCTATAAGTAGCACACACCCATAGCTTTACAAGGGATGGATTTTGGAGAGAAAACTCTTGGAAAAAAAACTAATTTCCCTTCTCCATTATCAACCTTGAGAGTGAAAGTAGGAGATCCATGAGAAGGCCTTGCCATCATTCTCTCTCTAGTTACTTTGCCTTCTTCTTCACCCAATCTCTTATCTTCATCATCTCTTTACTTTTGTGTTCTTAGTTGAGACTATTGAAGAATCTAAGCCTCTCATCATCTTCTAAAAAATTCGAATTTTTCTTCAAGGATCTTCGAAGATCTTCGAATTTTCCAACAACTTTCTTAAACTCTCTCATGCAAAGTCTTATTAATGTCATCACATTATTACCGTCACTATCATCTCCACTACCACACCATTATCACCACTGTCACTACCACTATCACCGTTGTCATTACCACTACCACCACCCCAACATTGGAAATGTCTTTTTGTCCAAACAAACAAAGTATAAAATGAGATTGCACTTGAACTACAAAAATTAATAATGTAATTTGTCCATGTTAAATAATAATTAATGGGACAAAATGTAATTAACCCTTAAAATAACACAATTTTGATAAAGAAGATGGGCTTATTTTCGAAATTACAGGAATATGTAGGTGTGAAGGAGGAATTATTCTGTTAATTAGGCTATATACTCTTTTAATTCTATTAAGTGTTTTTGGTTTAAATTTTCTGAATTAAGTTATTTTCACACTTTTTTGATTTTTGTATTTTTTTATTTTTAGTGAATATTTTTTAAATTTTAAATTTTTTTTTATATTTTTAAATGCACCTTACTTAGATATATCTAAAAAGTAAAAAATTTGTGAAAAAATATTTTAAAAAATTAATAAATATATAAAAATATAAAAAATGTATTGAATTCTTGTATTTTTTTTTTTGTATTTTTAGTATTTAGTGAATTTTTAAAAAAAAAATTATAATTTTTTTACTTTTTAGGTGTATTTATGTTAAGTTTGTCTAAAAAGTAAAAAAATTGCTTAAAATATTAAAAAGTTTAGTAAAAACAAAAAAATACAGAAAATAAGAAAGTAAAATTTTCTGAAAAGTATTTTTTGAAAAGTGAAAACAAGTAAAGTTTTTTTTTATATAATACATAAAAAAATATAAAAAATAACAAACAGTAATGATTGAGGGTTACAATTTTTGTGGCTCAAATAGCTCAAAATTGTTAAAACGACGTCGTTTTGAGTACAAAACAACTTTAAAATTATCAAAACGACGTCGTTTTAATAATTTTAAATCATTTAAGCTACAAAAATTGTGACCCTCAAACATTTTCCAATAACAAATATGTAATCAATAAAATCATAAAGATATACACGTAAAATATGGGGCCAACTTATGTGATAATTTTGGATGGGAGGGTCTAGGTCGGTTGAAGATTATCGTTATTCCAGTTTTTTGTTCTTTGTCTTCTCTTTCCCGATGGCTCGAAAGAGCTCTTCTTTTGAGAGAAGACCCACCACCCCTCCTTTTTCCCCTCTCCTCTCTCCTCAATCCTAACCCTAGATCTCTCCCTCCCTCTCTCTCTCTCTCTCTCTCTGTGTGCTCCATTCACGATCATCTTTCCTTCCAATTACTCATTCTTCCATTAACAATCCTTCAAAATCACGAGAAAAAAACATACACAAATATGTGTATCATCGAGGGTTTGCTTTGGGTTGATTCAATGGTGTAGGCTGGGGTTTTTACTCTACTCTATTCTATTCGATTTGATTTGATTTGATTTGATTATCTGCATGTCTTTTTCTGGAGATCTCGAACGATGATTTCGAATCCCAGTTTGATCTTCTACGCCTGTGTTTCCAAAGGAACTACGATTCTCGCTGAATTCAATTCCCGCGATGCCGATCTCGCAACCCTAGCTTCCAAATGCCTCGAGAAAGCCCCTCTCTTGCACGTCAATTTCTCTCACACCGTTCGCAAGAAGACCTACACTTTCCTCATGGACGATCCTTTCGTCTACTTCTCAATCTACGATGAATCTCTCGAGAATTCAGAAGCTCTCTCCTTCCTCCACAGCGTCAAGAAAGCCTTCGACAAGATCATCATCAGTGAGAACGTTCGGTCTAAGGAGAATCTCAATTCGCATCATTTTCAGGGAGAATTCAATCCGGTATTCCACCAATTGCTTGCTTCGCTGGCGACGGAGATGATGGAAGGTCCGCAATCGCCGCTGGGGCACTTGAAGCACGGACGCAGTGGGAGTTTGGATTCACCGAGGGGGAAGAGGATTGGGTCGGTGCCTTTGCTTGGGGGTGATTCGAGGAGCTTGAAGAAGAAGAAGAAAAAGTTGAGTAATGAAGGCAATGGTGAATGCAAAGATGGATTGGTTGAAAACAAGGTCGATTTTTCAAAAAATGCCAATGCCATTGTTTTGAGCAGAGATTTCTCGATGTCGATGCAGAAGGGGGGGATGTCGATGCAGAAGGGGGGATTGTTTGGGGACGATTCGGGGCAACAGCAGAAGGCGAAGAGGGTTTGGAAGAGGCATGTTTGGGTGGTTTTGTCTCTGGATTTGATTGTGTGTTGCATTTTGTTTGGGGTGTGGTTGTGGATTTGCAGGGGATTCAAATGCATTGATGGTTGAATACCTGAATTGGGTCTGAAACTCTGTTGTTTGTTCTGGGTTTGAGTTTGGGGAATTTCTCTGTATATTATTAATGTTTAACTATCTATCATCATCCACAACAGACACGAGTCTTATACTAAAAAATCTATATGATTATTGGACGAGCTATATATTGAATTGTTGTTCAGCTTCTACTGGTAATATCTGTATTTTCTTTGTGAGAAAAAATCAAAGTCTTTGTATGAATTTCTGAGTTTGTTTCTAGGTGGTCAGCTGGTGGTGACCAAGGTCGGTTGAGACTCTTGCCCATTAGTTTTGGCTCACTTGTTCTTTACGATTATGTCGGGTTAAGTTATGCCTCAAATCTGTCCTCAGGAATCCCCGGGAAGAATTGAATTCCGTCATAGTTTTAAAATTGAGAAATTTCACATTTTTTTGCATTTAAAATAGAGAATTTTCACATTTTTTATTTTTGAAACTGTGAAATTTCAATCAGCATGTCTTTGATGAAGACAAAGTGGATTTCCTTAGAATTATCTGTGTGCATTGCTGTCAAACAGCATTCAGTATGAGAACTATGGGAAATCACAATTATTCAAGGTTTTATGCCACAAATTCATATCTTATCAACTAGCTTACAACCAATTCAATTTGTAGAAAGATAAAGATCACGAAGTGACAGAAAAAGTTTCCGTCAAATTTGCAAAGTGCATATCAATCAACTCCATATTTCGAAAAACCATCCAGAAAACCCATCATAATTAGATTATGAAAGAATACAAGACAGATACAGCAGCTCTTATCCACGAATAGGTGAACTATACATAGAAATAAGCTCTTATTGGGATATCGTACCAACAACAAAATTTTGTATAACAATTATCCATCAGCCAGGGAGTTAGATACTTGTTCATGAGAAAGTAGCCCATTAGAATTCTAAAGAACACATGAAGCACATAGAACCATCACGTGCCGCTCACTCTTAACCACAAGGGGTGAGCTTCTTATTGCCTGCACCTCGAGGATTGTCATCTTTCCAGTCATCCCATGCCCTTGCCTTGTCTTGGGCAGCATCGTCATCTTCATCGTCTTCTTCACCTGGCCTCAACTTCTGATTGTCCTTGTACCATGACGAATTAGCTTCTTCCATGAGCTTGGCATTTCTCTCCTGAAATTTATTCATTATCTCCATCTCCTTCAAGCCAGCTTCCTCAATGCTCATCGTTGGCAATCTATTAATCCCACACAAATAATAAATAGATAATAACAAAAATAACTAGGACTTCTCACAATTTAACTGCTTAAGAGATTGTTTGAGATGTTCTAAATAAATGCATTTTTTGACTTTTTATAAAATATGGGTTGGATTTGAAGTGATGTTGTAGAGAGGTGATATAACTTAAATAGAATAGTGACTTTTTGGCTTTTTTAAAGAATGCCAAACCTATTGTTTGCTTATCAAGATAAAAATATACCTGTAACTAGGTTGGAAAACCTGAGCTGCCATCCTTTCCCTTTCACTTGTTGGGTTTCCACCCACAAGACTAGCTGGTCCAAATAGCAGCGGCTGATGTTTGTGCTCGTGTGCCTGTGAAACCTTTGCTCTCCCTTCTATAACATCTTGAGCAAAAGTTGCACATGTAATCGGTTGTACCGGCCTCGTATAATGAGCTCGAGCTGCAGCATCACGATGCCAGGCTTCTCTCTTGGCGCGCTCATCGAGAAGAACTTGTGAAATATCCTTGCCCCCTTCCTGCAAAAGATAGCAAATTATTGACAGCACCTAGATCTGTGTGCATAAGACCTATAGCATAACTGACTGCATAAATTACCCAAAAAATTGGGTTGTCCAAGATTCAAAAAATAGAAGTGTCACTTCAAAAAGGGCCGGTTGATGAGTCAAAGAAGATAAAGAATAAAAGACAAGAACATAAAAATAAAAACAACCACAACAGCCAGCTTAGTCTTGCAGTCTCAACTCACAAAAAAGGAAAAAAATAACAAGAGCATGCCCTTCTGTTTCATGTTCTCCTTGGTTTTCCTCTATTTCTTTACTATCCTCTGCGTGGATCAAATCACTCCTGTAGGCGCATTAACTGGTCTATGATTCAAATGTCAATAGCATCTCAAACGATTTTCCCTTGTTCCTCATGAATTCATTTCATACTTGATCTTTTCTTGTAATACCACTCATCCATCTCAACATTCTCATTTCAACTACATTCGGTACCATACATCAAATCAGGTCTTATAGCAAACTTCTAATATTTATCTTCTACAATAACACAGCACAGGACTCCTTCCTAATGAATTCATTTCTTACTCTATCTGTTCTTGTAACACCACTCATCCATCTCAATGTTCTCATTTAAATGATACCGTACATAAAAAATCAGGTATTATAGTAGACTTCTAAAATTCATCTTCTACAATAACACAACACTCTTGATACACAATTTCATTCCATCCACATGTCATCTAATTCTGCATCACATCCTTTTCAATCTCCCCATTCTATGAAAAATTAATCCAAGTCATCGAAAATGGTTAATATTAAGTATCTCTAACCTGATCTAATTCTATGTGCCACATCCTCTTCAATCTCTCCATATTTATGAAAAATTAATCCAAGTTATCGAAAATGGTCACTCTTAAGTATCTGCAACCCATCAAGTTTTACTATGTTTCCAGCTTTTCCAAAACTCCACATTATGTCTCAAAGAACACTATCACATGTTTTCGTCTTAAGTATCTGCAACCCATCAACTCATCTGAACCATATGAATGCTTTTGTACTTTTTCTTGTATTTTTCATCAGTCACCTAAGTAGAAAAATAAGTTTCATAGTAGATCTCTCGAGCATAAAACCTAATTGATTTTCTGAAATTGTTGCTTCATATATTAATTTCCACTCAATTACTTTCTCCCGAAGTTTCATTATATGACTCATAAGTTTAATACATTGATAATTAGTACAGCTTTGGATATCACCTTTTTTTATAAATAAAAAGATTAATTCAGGAGGCAACAACAGGGTGCAACCCGTAAATATTTTCAGCTAGTTATCTGTAATTAACCTGTAATTGCTTTTCCTTTATAGCAGAAAGCATTTCCTCTTCTTTGCTTAGCATTTCCAGAAGATCAAAAGCCTGTAATATGATTTCATGGCAAGAAAATATTATCAACACTGGAAAATAGTCATAAAGGAAAAATTGTAAACTTCCAAAACCCGAGGAAATTATAAGACCAACCTTACAAATAGCCAAGGAGATGGTAGTAAGCCATGCCTGCACAAAAACAATACTTTTCTTTTCAGAGAAACTCAAAACCCTTGAGACAACCAAGTATTTTAGTACAACCAAATAATTGATCAGACCAAACAAATCTTATGGTTCATTCAAGGTACAAAGATTAAACCCTATAATGACATCCTCAACAAAAGCAAAAGTAAGCATAACAATGCATTTGAAATAATAAAGGGCACTCAACACAAGAAGCAAATATGCATGCTAACCAACTTGTAGTTTTATCAATTGTAATTCATAGAATCAAAGTAAGTTGGCTCAATTGAAAGAGTACTTCTACCATATTATGCAATTGATCGATACCAAAAAAATTGGAAGGACAATTTATACTTTGCTGATGCTTTCTTTCCTTTTCATTTTTGGATAAGTAAGGAACAAAGGATAAACTTCAATATAAGGCCATAAGCTATCAGGAAAATACATTAATAAAAAGTCAAGGCATGGTATGCATCTTAAGCAATGATATAATCAATTTATAAATTAAATTTATTATAAAATCAAATTAAAACTAAGATATAATTTGAAATATATCCCTGGATTACGTCCAAACTCTAATGCTCTATTTGGTTCATTGGAATGAAATGGAATGGAACGATGATTCCATAGGCTTTCTTATGGAATGACAATTCCCTTAAAAAGGTGAAAATTGATTCCTTTGTAATACATTTGTTATTATTTTTTTAGTCTAACCAAACATAGAAATGAATATTTTGATGGAATGATTATTCCATTCCACTTCATTCCATTGAACCAAAAACACCAAAAGGCTTTCTCATTACATAATCAGTATAGATCACAACTAACCTCCCTTTCTTCCTCTCCATCGTCATCCAACAGATCTTCCTCTCCTGCCTCCACAGGTGTAGATAAGGCAGCTGCTTTAGTTGATCTCCCACGTCGCTCCTTCCGCTCCTTTATTTCAAGCAGCTTGGCTTCTGCAGCTCTTTGGCGTTTAAACCGAGCAATCTAAAGTGCCAAAATTAGATTCAGCACTCCGTTATAAAGCTTCCAGATGCATTTAATTAAACTTTGCACAAAATAATCATGACTGACATAAAAAGCTTAATGGAATTACGGTTGAATATCATTGCTTCTACCTTCTTAGCCCTTCGGTCTGCAAAAGAATTTGGACCACCTTGTGCAGTTGATTCTAACTCCTCCTCGGGCACAAGCTCCATTGCCTCACAAAATGACATAAATTCCTACATATTCAGACGTGTTGACAATTTTCAATGACTACATGAAACACAACATACTTCAAAACAGAAGTTGAATTTTTTTGGCAGACAACAAGAATTAAAGAACATTTAATGTCCAAAGACTAAAATTCTTTTAGTTCAAATAAACTTAGAACTATGACTTTGGCACAGAACAACAATCACCTTTAACTTTGCTATTGATGCCTTAATAATTTGTAACCTGTCATCCTGTGCAATTTTTTCTGTCAATTCAGCAAGATAATATGGCACCTGCAGTAAAGAATTGTAAGTATTTTCTGAGACATCAAAATATAGTTACAAAAAGACTGATTTCAGATAAACCTTTTGTAGGACAGAGATGACATGGAAAACTTCCAACCTTGATATAAACATTATTTGTCAAAGTAAATGCTCTTCTTCTTTTCTATGAACGTAACTAATCTATACCACTTCCTAACTACAGTCAGACCAGGTCTTCTAGAGTGAACTGGCAATGTAATGTTTCAATATTTTGTGCTACTAGAACCATAAAGAGACAACTGACACATCAACTTGAAGGATGCCTTTTCCTTAAGAAATTCTTTCACCATCTAAGGTCAAGGAAGAACCTGAGGGAAAATCTGTTTTCTTACCAATTAGAAGGAAGAAAGAAGGAGCCGCTCGACCCAGGAAACAAAGTATGCTTTGGTGAGCGAGAAGTAGCCAGATAAGCAAGAAGGGGCAGTTGGTTTAGTAAAAACAG